GGCACTTTGAACTCATCAGCAGTTCCATGGGGAAAACATGGGGCAGTCTGTTTCCCTAAAGCCTCAGAAACTCCAGAAAGCAGTTATACTCTGTCTTTTTGGGTTTCTATGAGTTGGAATAGAGTTGGTGGCAGTGTGGGAGGGGTACTCACTTAATGTTACACCAAACCAAACCCACTACTGCTGAGTCAGTTCTGACTCATAGCAACCCTGTCGGACACAGTAGACTGCTCCATAGGGTTTCCAAAGCTATACATCTTTTAGGGAAATGCACTGCCACATTGTTCTCCAGCAGAGCCATCGCAGGTTGACCACTAATTTAAAAAGCACTTTACCCTGTGTACCACCATGACTCCTTCAGCCAATATTAGAGGATAAAGCTTTCCATTTCAACTGCTACTCTCACATTGGCCTGTCGTGCTTCCTAGTATAAACTCATGGTGGCTATTTGGGTTTATCCTTTTCTTTGATCTAGTACTCACATAGACACTGCCATGAAGACTGTGAAGGCTGGTATTGTGCAGTTTGTGAGAATGCCTCACCATCCAGTTTTGTTGTAAATGTTACCAGTGGGTTTTTTGGTTTTGCTATCTAGTTACTCTGTGTTGTTGTTAAGGGCTGTTGAGTCGTTTCTGACTCATAGCAACCCTGTAGAGGGTTTCCGAAGAGCAGCTTGTGAGTTATTCTGAATTTATGTTGACTTTGGAGGATTTGTAAACTCTGCTGCTGCTTTTTTTGCTGCAGCAGCTCCCAAGAACTATTTTATGTGTGTGTGTGTGTGTCTATGTGTGTATTTACAGCTTGTTTGAATTAAAATTTGAATAAATTGAAGTGCTTCGTGATCTGTAGGTTGCACTCCTTCCTTCCCTCTGTTTCTTTAGCTACCCTACCTCCTTTCTCTCCTCACAATGCATTAACTGAAGAAATTGAATTATGTGTCCTAAATGGAATGTTGGAGATTCTGCTAATTGGCATCCCTGTGGTGTAGTTGAACATGGTTTTTCTGTCCTCTGCATTTCCTGTAAATGATCAGTTAGAGCTGGAGGCTTGATCACATTCAGGTTCTATGATAACATAAACAACAATATTAGATGGGACAGGTCACTGAGAAGAAAACAGTACAGAAACACTGGTATAAAAATCTCAAGTAGAAATGTTGACTTTGAAGAACAGACAAATCCAAAAATACCGACAGCAGAATATTGGTTGCCAGGGAATAGATGTTAGAAAATCACAGTACATACTCTAAACAGAGGACAGATACAGAGATACCACTCTCTGGCTCACAAATTCCAGGTACACTCTTAAAACAAACTTGAGTATCCCAAATAGTGAATGAGCTGAAGAACATTGGGCCCCCCTGAATGGGTCAGCAGGGATTCAGGCTCTTTGGAGAGTGAATGAAATCATCAGACATTGTTGTTGTTGCTAAGTGCTGTCATAGTGACCCTGTTCCAATGTTCTAAACTATTTCACCTGACTATAGTTGCCATGGAAACTTTTTATTTATGTTTCTCTTCATCCTCTCCAAATTACTACTAGTAATAATTGAGCCAATTATTTAAAAAGGAAAGTCTCTATCTAGAGATCTCTGATCCTTCTTTTCTTCAGGATTAAGATCTCAGCATGAACACTCTAAGGAAAAATTTACATCAGACATATATCTTCCCCTACGAACACATGCTCTTTTACTTCTTAGTAGTTTATCACTATTTCATTATGTCTTTCTTGATATCAGTATATTTATCTTAGTTATAAGCTCTGACACCAAGGGCTCTTGAGTTGTTTGGGTTTTTTCCCCCTTTTATTGTATGATAGTTTACATGGGAGAACATTAGTTTTACACTCATTCTATCATATATCTTTTCATTGCCATAGTTACCATCCCATCCATGCATCATCACCCAACCAAAGGTTATACCCTGCAGGCCCCCCCTCCCCCCATGGTCCTTAGCACACAGCTTCCTTCCCTCCCTGGATCTCAAGTCCTCAGCCACTCCATCTCTTCATGTCATCTTCTCTGTTTCCATCTCAGGCCTCACTGGTTTTCTGGGTGGGGTCCTGATCTCTGCTCTTCTCCAGTGATGATTCCAGGGGCCTTCATTCCTAGACTGAAAGGTTAATCACATCCCTCCTTGCTATAAAATACCCACCTTTACCTTTCCAGTCCTCACAATCTGTCCTGATAACAATTTTTCACCCCTGCATCACAAGAGACCCATCCGCATTTCTTTTCATCAGTCCTTCCTAGACAGGTTGGGTATTACCCACTTGAGACTCCACCCTCCTCCCCGCCCTGTCGATCCAGGTTCCCTTTTGAAAGCTTGTAAGCCAGTCACTTCTTACCTTTGTATCCCTCCCCCCATTTTGGGTAGCCAATGTTCCAGTTGCCCATCCCTATACTGGACAGATTGTAACACCTTTTTAGGTATTCCAGTCAGTTCCATCCAGGCAGAAGACGGACTTACAAGCTTTCTATGGTGGTATTTCTGGTTATTCCTCCCTCTACTCTCCCGTGACTGATTTATAATATAATGCATGGAAAACCAAGGTTCAAGAGTCAGCCAAGCATCTCAACATTATTCCCCCCCTTTCCCCATTACAACCATGTCCCAGTCTCTGTATCCCAGAGCCCTGTTGTTCCAAGGCTGTGCCTACATCATTTATTACCTCTGTCCCACTTAGCTCATTCCTACCTGTCTGTTCTCCCATCTGCTTTGTTCCTCCATTCCCCTCTCCCTACTTGTATATTGACCCCCTCCCCAACACCCAAGCTACCCCGTCCTGTGCTCTACCTTCCCCTCCCGTCCTTAACCTCATCCCTACGCCCTAGCATCCAGTTAATCATCCACTTTAGTGGAATAGTATGGGTTCTTTTTCTTAGTCTTTTACAGTAGTGGTCCTATGCAGTATTTTTCCTTTTGCGATTGACTAATTTCACTCAACATAATTAATGTTCTTAAGGTTCATCCATGTTAGGAAGTGGCATGTAGCTTCCTTGTTATTTTTCAGTGTAGCATAGTACTCCATTGTGTATGTACCACAGTTTGTTTATCCATTCTTCAGTTGATGGGCACTTTGGCTGTCTCCATCTTTTTGCTATTGTAAATAGTGCAGCTATGAACATCGGAGTGCATATATCTTCCCGTGTTGTGTCTCGTTTTTCTTGTGGGTAAATACCAAGTAGCGGAATTGCTGGATCGAATGGTATTTCTATTTTTAACCTTCTGAGGAAGCGCCATATTGCTTTCCAGAGAGGTTGGACTATTTTGCAGTCCCACCAGGAATGCAGGAGTGTCCCAGTCTCACCACATCCTCGCCAGCATTTATTATCCTCAACTTTTTTGATCTTTGCTGTTATTGCTGGTAGGGCTCTTGAGTTTTTGCAGCCATACACTCCTTCACAACTTTCACAGTATCAACCCTCACCTTGCACTTTACACATGTGCACGTTCATGCAAAATTTGGCAGTTTTACCTTTCTGAAATTCATCCACTCAAGGATTCCATTGTTGTCTCAAAAGGAAAGTACTTTGTAGATGGATAGTTGTGTGGTCAATGGGGTTGTTGACAGTAATTTCAGTTTTGTTGATTTGTTTTCAGTTTGTTCTAAGTCCCATTTTCCTACCTTAATAAGCTTACTCATCTTTCTTGGGCTATGGGTTCATACTCTGTATGCACTCATAGGAACATTGATCAAAGCCTTATTCTCTGATCTTCAGAGGATGGCAGATGATGTAGATTTACACAATTGGCCTGAAGATGAATTAAGCCTGGCAGATAGGACCTATAAGAGTTGTGGAGACCATATTATTTTATGCCCCCTCATACCCTATATATAATTTTTTCCTAAAGATGGACTCCACAGAAGGCTTCTTTTTAGGGTAAAGAAATGAGAATGCAGTGATAGTTGCACACCTCTGAATAAACTAGAAACCATAAATGTGTTGTTGTTGTTGTTAAGTACTGTGGAGTTGGTTCCGACTAATAGTGACCCTGCACTGGGTTTCCGAGGCTGTAAATCTTTACAGGAACAGAATGCCTCATCTTTCTCCCGCGGAACCTTGAGGTTAGCAGCCCAATTCTTAACCACTACGCTACCAGAGCTCCTTATATGCTTTCAAATATTCTATTGAATAAATAAATCCATTTGAATGGTGGTGATGGTTTTGTGCCATGGAGTTAGTTCCAACTCATAGTGACCCTAGTATAGGGTTTCCGAGGCTTTAAATGTTTATGGGAGCAGAAAGCCTCGTCTTTTCTTTCGCAGAATGGCTGGTAATTTTGAACTGCTGACCCTGAGGTTAGCAGCCCGATTTGTAACCACTACGCTACTAGTAGGAATGTCAAATTCTCCATCATTGCTGCCCATTAATAATGAAATCCAACCTACATAATGTAATTTTCTTAAAGCCATATTAAATAAATAACAGGAATTTAATTTTAGCAATATTTTTGTTTAATCTATTACATCTAAAAAGGAGCCCTGGTAAACAAGTTGGCCTGCAAACTGCAGTGTCAGTAGTTTGAATCTACCAGTTGCTCCTTGGCAGAAAGATTGTTTTCTGTTCCGACAAATAGTTACAACCTTGGAAACCCTACACAGGTTGCTTCAAGTCGGAACCAACTCGATAATAACATTACATCAAAAATATTAATGTTGTGACATGTGATTTATATAACAATATTAATGAGATATTAAGAGTTTTCTCATACTAAGTCTTTGAAATTCAGTGTATATTTTAGATGCATAGAAAATGTCAGTTCACATTCCCACACTTCAAGTTCTCAATTGCCACATGTGAGTGAGTAATGGCTACCATATTGGACAGTGCTCTTTCAACATGTCTGAAAACTAAAAACAATTCTTTATCTCTAATTCAATTTAAAATTTTATCACCTAAGCCGTAAATTAAATTAGTCTTCTTACATTATAGTCTTGTAAAAGAAATCTTTAATAAGCATAATAGAGTGTAAAGACTTTTTCTTTTTCTCTTCTAGTAAACGAAGCAAAAAAGGAGATAAAAATGGAAAAGGCTTGAGACATTTCTCTATGAAAGTGTGTGAGAAAGTTCAGCGGAAAGGAACAACATCATATAATGAAGTAGCTGATGAGCTGGTATCAGAGTTCACCAATTCAAATAACCATTTGGCAACTGATTCGGTAGGTAGTTCATGAGCTTGACATTGATTATGGAGTGATTCAACAGTTTATTTTATTATTATTTTTTATTTATTAAATGTTTTTATTTTGGATTGAGTGAAAGTTTACAGGGCACATCATCAGCTTCACATTCAACCATTCATATAGCTTGTTTCATTACATTGATTATTATCCCCTCCATATATCATCAGTTAACAGTGTTTCTCTCTATCCTCTTTAGCTTTTTTTTTTTTTTTTTTTTGGGGGGGGGGGGTGGCGGGGAACTTGCCTTTTTGGAATTTACAGTCTCGGCTTTTAGGGAAGGTTTTTACATTTGTCTGTGGATATCCAGGGCTCATGTATGAGATTACTAACAAGCATTACTGAATAATCAGATGAGGGACAGTTTGCTATGTCTACTGGGTGGCTAAAGTCTGATCCTCAGAGCCTATGGTTTGGACGGTCAACAACGCTTGGGCCCACAGGGTCTTGACCTCCTGACCGGGTCTGCACGGTCTGTATCAGATTCCCCCTTATTTATTGTTTGTTTAAGGGACGCTGCCTGTCTTAGGCGGTCAGTGCGAATTCCTCAGTCTTACCTGTCATCGAAACTCATTGCAGCATGGCAGTGGCTCTGTCTTAGGTTGCTGAGGTTCCACATGATCCTTACCCGTCTCTGGCCACACGTCCAGCATAAACAGCCGCCATCCGTGGAAGGCATGGAGGGAGGAGATCAGCTGGGGACTCCATACGCAAGACGTTGCCAGCCCACCACTCAGCAGTTTATTTTTTGGGTCATTTGTATGATAGATTTGAGGAATCAGATGATTTAGGGAATCCTCAACTTCATAGCTGAGATTTTCATACTGTCTGATGGGGATTTTTATCCTTGAGTTTTGTTTTGTTTTGGAAAGGATTCTTTTACTATTTAAATATAAAGATAAACAATTTATTTTTCATAAACATCTAAGTCGAGGAAACCACATGGAGCGTAATACTGTGCCTTATAGGGTTACTATGAGTCAGAATCAGATCATTGGCATACAACTAAAGAATCATGCTTTTTATAGATTTTATATATATATACCTTTTATATTTGTCAGTTTTCTAATCAATTTTGGATACATTTCTTTATCTTTTAGTATTTTTTTCAATATCTGGGTTAACAAAATTCCATTTTAATTGAAAGCATAATACATGTATATATTTATTAAAAATGCATATATACAAAAGAGTATGTAATGAAAATGGTCTCCTTTCCACAATAGACCACAATATTCTTCTTCTAAAGCAGTAATCACTCTTACCAGTTTCTGGAATATCATTCTAGAACTTCTTTATGCATGATGGTGGTGGTGGTGGTGGTTGTGGAGTTGGTTCCGACTTATGGTAATGGTGGTGGTTATGTGCCTGGGAGTCAGTTCTGACTCACAGTGACTCTGTACATTGTTTCTGAGGCTGTCAATCTGTATGGGACCAGAAAGGCTCATCTTTTCTCTCTCAGAGCGACTGGTAGATTTGAAATTGCTGTCCTTGCAGTTAGCAACTCAGCTTGCAATTCACTACGTTACCAGAGCTCCTACTTTAAGCATACCCAAGATAACATTTTTTTTTTTTTAATTTTTTTTTTTTTAACAGAAATGTGATCATGCTATGCTTGTAGCATTGTTAGTTTTCTTATTCATAGATGTTTAAGCTTTCCACCCAATATTTTCATCTTGTGTCTCTGCTTTATTCTGGATTTTTTTTTTTCTAATTTCTATCTCAGTTCATTGTTAAAGCCAGTTGCTGAATTCTTAAATTTAGTTATATTTTACAGTTCTAAATTCTATCATTTCCTTTTGGTTTTTCAAATCCTTTGTTAAAATTCACAGCTTTGTTTTTATATCTTTGGACATAGTAAGTATAGCTGAAGTTTGTGTGTGATTTACTGCATTATTTGAGTGTTCTGAGATTCTGTTTCTGTTGTCTATTATCTTCCATGTTTTACAATCATGTTGTCTTACTGCCTTTTGCCAATAATTGATGTGCAGATAATTCAAGATTTAGGGTATGGTGTCTTCTATCAGAAAGAATGTAGATGATCAAGACCATTAGCAGCTAAAGGTGGCTTAATTCAGTTTCAGTGATTGAGTAGATTTGAAATGGTCTTCAAGTTCACCCTTCTTTAAAGGTGTAGTATGCAGTGGTTACAAATTGGGCTGCTAATCTCAAGGTCAGCAGTTTGAAACTACCAGCGGTTCTGCAGGAGAAAAATGAGGCTTTTTGCTCCCATAAAGACTTACAGCCTTGGAAATCCTATAGACTCGTCGGTGCTTAACAACAACGTCTTGAGAACCTGGAGTCCTGGTGTGGTGCTGCAGGTTAATGCTCTGGGCAAGGTCGGTTTGAACTGCAAGATCCATGGTTCAAGCTCACCAGCCACTCCTTGGAAACCATAAACAGGGTCGTTAATGAATCAGAACTAACTCTATGGCACTTAACAACAGCAACAACTTGAGAACCTAATCTGAAGAGTGATATTTCATCAACCATTATAATTTTTCTTATAAAAATGTGGCGTTTTCCATCTTGTCATTATTACATTCATATAAAGAAGACGCATATAATAAAAATAGAGAATGTGGAGTCCTACAGATCTGGATTTAAATCTCAGCTCTGTTACTTGCTAGCTATGTGACTTTAGATAAATTACTTAACCTCTGAGTGTCCGTCTTCATATTGATGGTTGGGTTTAATACTACTATCTACCTCACAGGTTGTTGTGAGGATTAGATGAGATAATGCATATAAATTACCTACATTATATAAAACTATTAATATATTGTGGGCCTTCTGTATAAATAATGATTATGCAGTAAAGATAAGCAATTTTTAATGTTTCCTACCACAATAATCTTCCATCTTGTAGACAAACATGTTTTTAAACACAATTGCATATAGTAAGCAACTGGGAAGTACAAGTTGTTCACCACTCATACTTAATGACCATCTGCTTTTGTGGCTGTTTTTATACACTTGGTGTGTGGTGCTATAGGATAAGCACTCGACCATAACATCGGTTTGAACTGCAAGGTCGGTGGTTCAAACTCACCAGATGTTCCTAGGAAACCCTGTACAGGGCCACTGTGAGTTGGAACCGACTTGATGACACTTGACAACAACAATTGTTGGTAATATGTACTACATACAGTGTTGCAGTGTATAGTTTGCTGGTGTTGTCCTCAATTAGTTCATTGTTAGGATTTACTGTTCAAAACCCTGCCACATAGCAGGTTATGAACATTGTGTGGGAGAGGTATTGGACTTGGAACCAACTTTCAACAGAGCCATTGGAACAAAACTCCATCATAAGTCGAGACTACTTGTACAGTACAAACATGTGGCAAAGAACACCTTAGTTCTGCGAGGTGCATGACTTTGATTTTTCCAGACAGCAAGAAAAAGAAATTGTGTAGACAAAGGTGTGAGAAATCCTGGTATGTTTTAAGAGTTAGGGTCTGGTCAATGTTGGTAGAGTGAGGATTGATGAGGGTAAAGCCAGGGGATAAGCAAAGACCCGTTTATAAAGTAAATTTGTAAAGGAATTGAATCTTTTGTGTTTTTATTAAATGTGGTCTGGACCATTGAGGAATTTGAATAGGGCAGTGACATTAGCTGTGTGTATTGACCACAGAGTAGAGATCGAGTTTGAAATCAAGACTATAGGCAAGATGACCTCTCAAGAGGTAGATGTGGTAAGTGAAAGATGAGATCCCAATCCAGCTTTCTGAAACTCTGATTGTTGTTGTTGTGTTAAGTGCCATCAAGTTGATTCCAACTCATAGTGACTTTGTGGGTGTGGACCACCATCCTGGTAGTTAGCAGTCCAGTGCTTATCTTATAGCACCACATCAGGACTCTGACACTCTGATTATAAAGAGGTAAATCCTTCTCATTTTATCATTTCTATTTCTTAAATGCTCTTTCATATTGTTTATTTTCTCTCAGTTACATTCTGGGTAATTTCTTCTGGTTAATCTTGTTGTTGAGTGCTGTTAAATAGGTTCCAACTCATAGTGAACCTGTGTAGGGTTTCCGAGGAATGTCTGGTGAACTTGAACTGCCGACCTTTCAGTTCAAACTGACCTTGCAGTCCTGCACATGAACCCACAGTGCCACACCAGCTTAATCTTACAGCTCATTTAAGTTCCTTTATTTGTGTGTAAGCTGCTATGTAACTCATTCTCAGAATTTTTTATTTCTGAAAGTTCTATTTGGTTCTTTCTCCAAATCTGCCTTGTCTATTAAATTCTACCTATTTCTTTCTCATGATTTCCATTCCATCATTGATTCTAAAATTTTTAACATAATTTTTTTGTGTGGTCTGTATTTTACTATCTAATGTCTTGGTTTTCCAATGATGGTAGAGTGTCACCTAATGAATCTTAGGTATAGTGACTTAACTTCATTTTTGTTTTATAGTTTGGGATTGTGACCTCACGTTCAGTGGGATTTTAACTGTGGGAATCCTAGGAAGCTAAGGTTGAAAGCATATCCCTCAGAAGGAACTGTATGTTATTTTTCTGCTAGTAGGTGGTGACTGCCAACCAGGGTCCATTCACTGTGTTAATATTTTGGCTTACAGACTGAAGGAGCACATAGAATTCACAGCTATTGAATAGATTCTGACTCATACCAATCTTATAGGATAGAGTACAACTGCTAGTTAGGGTTTCTGAGGCTGTAAATGGTTACAGAGGCAGACTGCTTCATTTTTCTCTCACACAGCAGCTAGTGGATTTGAACCACTGACTTTTTGAATAGCAGCCTAATACTTAACTCATTGTTACCTCTAGGGCTTCTGTCCCAGGAATGTATAAGATAGTGGAAATTTAAATGCAAAATGGTTTTTAAAAATTCTGAAGGAAGTCTTTTGGTTTCTACTTATGCCCATTTTCACTTAGAGCCCAAATGGAGAGAGGTTTTTTTTGACCTTCCTTAGCATTTGCCCTTTGAGAATCACAACTCTGTATAACTATCCCATTCCAACTCCTTTTTCCCCAAGCATATGCAATCCAAAATTCTTTTCCCACATCTCCATAGCAGTTAAGCCAAGTCTTCAGGTAACCCAAATCTGCAAATGCCTTAGAGCCATGATTCTCAACTTTTCTATGCTTAAAAATACTGCACATTTTGTTAAAATACAGATTCTGATTCTGTAGTTTCGAGGTGGGGCTGAGAGTCTGCATTGTGGTTCAAATTGACAGGTCATTCCTTGGAAACGCTGTCAGTTGGAACCAATTCAGCAACACTTAACAACAACAACGACACTAGCTTCTGGTGAGGCAGTTGTGGTGGTCCAAGCCACCGCACTTTTAGTTACAAGTCTTATTATTAGTAGTAGTAGCCTAAGCTTTAGTGTCTGCTTAGCATTTTGTCTGTCAACTGGACCTTCATTTTTCTCAGCATTTTGTTAATAAATGTTTTTAAGTTGAAAGAATTTTACAGTGATGATCCATGTACCCACCACTTAGATTCTGTGGTTATATTAGCACTTTATTACCATGTCTTCATTACACATTATGCCATTCTATCCAGGACATAATATGATCCCTTGCGGAGCAGTTGGTAATGGTAGCTGGGCACCATCTAGTTCTTCTGGTCTCAGGGAACTAGCACAAATCCCTATTAAGATAGGGAACAATCCCACTGCCCTAAAAATTTTTCTCATATCCTTTTCAGTCATTCCTTCCCCTACCCTGTCCTGTAATCTTTGACTTTTATTCCCTTGGAAAATTCCTTACAGGTATGCATGTAAGTGAAAATTTACATTTTTATAGTTGTATAGGAGAAAAGTTTCAGATGATTTAATTTTTCTGTTGCTAGAATTAGGGAGCAATAGTAGAGTTCATATGGCTGGGTTTTGTAATGTCTTTTTGAAGCACAAGTGAAGAAGTTTGATAATATAATTTAATTATGTAGCCTTTTAGTAGTCCAAATTTATTTAAACATAGAACTTCAGTTGCCCTGGGGAGTACTTGGCTGTTGAAATATGGATAAACCCCCATGACAGCCATTGGAAATTGAGCCAGCCAAGAGTCATCTATGGATGGAGGCCAGTCTATTGTAGCACAGAGGTATAATTTGATTCACATTTGTACCATTGAAAGTGCAAGAGGCAGTAGTTATTTTATCTGATTTTGCAAATGAAAAATATGTCCATTTAAAACACATCAAACATCTAGCTGCTAGTATTCTCTTTGTACTTTATTTCCTTAGTCACAAAATGAGGATAAAAATAATGCCTACCTCAGAAAGCTAAGGTTCCCTGGTGGGCTGCTAGCTGAAGGGTTGGTGGTTCAGACAGAAGAAAGGTGGGGCTATTGACTCCCATAAAGATTGACACTTTTGGAAACACTTTGGGGCTGTTCTTTGCTTTATACTGTCACTACGGATTGGAATTGACTCTATGGTAGTGAGTTCATAGAGTCGTGTGTAACACATAAACCAAACCAAATCCATTGCCTTTTAGTTGATTGTAACTTACAGCAACCTTATAGGACAAAGTAGGGCTCTCCATAGGGAATCCAAGGCTGTAATATGTACAGAAGCAGAATGCCAAATCTTTCTCCTACAGAGTGACTGGTAGGTTAGAACCACAGACCTTTTGGTTAGCAACCAAGTGCTTAACCACTGCACCAGGTCTCCTTATATAGCACAAATTCACCCACTGCCATTGTGTTGATTCTAACTCATACCAACCCTGTAAGACAGAGTAGTTGTTGTTGTTGTTGTTAAGTGCCATCGAGTCGGTTCCGACCCATAGCGACCCTGTACAGGGTTTCCGAGGGTGTAAATCTTTACGGGTGTAGAAAGCCTCATCTTTCTCCCGCGGAGCGCCTGGTAGTTTCGAACCACAGACCTTAGAGCTGCTCTTTAATATTTCCAAGACTATAAGTCTTTATGGAAGCAGGCTGCCTCATTTTTTGAACCTCCAATCTTTTGGTTAACAGAGCAATTTACCCATTGCACCACCAGGCCAAATAGCAAACCAAAACCAAATTTACTGCATCAAGTCAATTCTGACTCACAGTGACTCTGTATAGGGTCTCTGAGGCTGTAAGCCTTTATAGGAGCAGGAAGTCTCATCTTTCTCCCGTGGAGCAGCTAGTGGGTTTTTGAACTACTGATCTCCTGTATTTAACGGTCTGTGATTATTGCTACCAGGGTTCCTTAGGGTGTATGGTGGTTGTGGTATGCCGTGGAGTCAATTCCAACTCCTAGCAACCCTGCATAGGATTTCTGAGGCTGTAAATCTTTGTGGGAGCAGAAAGCCTCATCTTTTTCCTGCAGAATAGCTGGTAGTTTTGAACTGCTGACCTTGAGGTTAGCAGCCCGACTTGTAACTTCTACATTACCAGAGCTCCTTAGGGCATATGTTGTTGTTAAGTACCGTTGAGTTGATTCCAACCCATAGCAACCCTGTATAGAGTTTTCAAGGAGCAGCTGGTGAACTTGAACCACCAACCTTGCATTTCAAACGACTTTGCAGTTGTTAAGTGCCATTGAGTCGGCACGACTCATAGCGACTTTGTACAGTAGACTGAAACAACTGCCCTATCCTGGGCCAACCTCACTACTGTTGCTACACTTGAGTCCATTGATGCTGCCACTTGGCTAATCCATCTCACTGGGGGTCTTTCTTTTTTTCTCTGACCCTCCACCTTACCAAACATGATATCCTTCTCCAGTAACTGGTCCCTCCTGACAATATGTCTGAAGTATGAGACACGAAGTTTGGCCATCTTGGCCTCCAAGGAGCACTCTGGCTGCGCTTCTTCCAAAACTGATCTATTGGTTCCTTTGGCAACCCATGGCACTTCTAATTTCATTTTCCCTCTGAAGTTTTTTATAATTTGAAGAACTTGGTAAGAAATGTTTTTATTATAAAAGTATTAACAAACACTTAAGGAAAAAAGCCATTATTGCCATTTTTTAAGTGAATGTTAATGTACTTGAAATCATGGGATTATGTTTATTGCCCACTTTATTAGAAATGTTATCGTAAAAATGTTCATGTTGTTATTCACAAATATTTGTAATAGCTGTATTAAATATGATTGGGTGATATATAGTAGACAACCTTTGTTGTTGTTGTCAGGTGCCATCGAGTCGGAACCGACTCATAGCGACCCCATGCACAGCAGAATGAAACAATGTACTCATTGTTAAATATTTCAGTTTCTGTTTTTCACTAGACTCATTCATTTGTAGGCACTGTATTTGAATTTCTAATATTTGAGGCTGTAGTAATGCTTTACAGAAAGTACTGCCATTTAATTTTTCTTTTAATTTGAGTATGTTCCTTCTCATGTTATTATCTTGCCTATTTGACAAACTTAGAAGAAAATTTAATTCAAATATCTTAACCCTTAAAATCTATGACTCAATAAAAAACAATTTTTAGCAGGCTTATGATCAGAAGAATATTAGGCGAAGAGTTTATGATGCTTTAAATGTGCTAATGGCAATGAACATAATTTCAAAGGAAAAAAAAGAAATCAAGTGGATTGGCCTGCCTACAAACTCTGCTCAGGAATGTCAAAATCTGGAGGTAAGCGAGTCTTCTGCTGATAAATATCAGTTGGTGTTACTTTACATCAGAGGTTTTTAAATTTAGAAATGAAGCCATGTGATATGAACTAATCTTTGTTCATGTGTACTGTGTCATTTGTTAAAACAGTCTATATGGAATTTTATAAATAGAAGGAGCTTTAAATCTATAACCAGTTTGTTTTCTGAATGATGAAGCAGAGGGACAGTGAAGTAAAATAACTTTTCCAAAGTTATGCTTTAGATCAGATAGTAGAAAATCCAGAACTAAAATCTAGGCCTTTTTATTTTTAACATTATTATTAAATCAGTAATATTATATCACACCAAACAATGGATACTCAGTTTCCAAGTATTAAAACAGTGACCTTTTCTCTTGTAAAACAAATGAAGAAAGTAAAGAGACTGTTCATAAAAGGTAAATGAAAAATGTTAAGAATATTTTAAATCAGCTTTTCATGAACTGTTTTTACTAATTAGAAATATTTTGAAATTTGTTATGATAAATTCATATTTTTAATCACAGAATAATTTAAAGAACCCATAATTCTTGAGAAAAGCTTAGACTATAAAAAATGTCCTACTTACAGTGAAGTTGCTTCTACAGTTCTTCAGAGAGAAAACATCCTTGGAAATAGATCATGTAATCTATCCTATGTTAATTTCATGTCTGTTTGCTGTGGAAAATGATGAGGTTTTAATGTCAATTCAAAAAGTAGGAAGAATTCCTTTTGAACTTTTAAAGGAATAGAGGTTTTTCTGTTTTATCCTTAGTCTTCTAAATATAATATTTCCTTAGAAACCTGGCATGAATGAATATCATTTAGGATTTGTTTTCACTGGCTTTAAGAGAAGGTCTCTATTTTACTCAAGCATAATTCTGAGCAAGTTACAAAAAAGAAATTTGTTGACTCATGTAATAGAAATGGTATTTGATGAAAAGCTGTATAGATTTTTAAATAATGGATTGAGTTCACCATTTTGTTTTTGTACATTGAGTATACACTCTTGTAAATACTGTGCTAGTCGAAGCTTTTAACTCCACAATCATTGACAATAGGGTTTGCATCTCTCACAGTGGATAGAATGCTAATTATACATGAATTTTGAGATGATATGTATAAAAATTTTTTACTGTTAACTTTAATTAAGCATTGTAGAAAAAGCTATATAAGCATGTGCCCTAACATAAAATTTGTAAATTGTTTTGAGATAATTTTCTTATCATGGCGATGATAAAGCTGAGCATTTTAAGATAATTAAGGTTGCTTTCATGTTTTTTCCCAGTTGCTTTTTCCTCCTATACATCAGAACTTATTTAGTATTATTATGCTTGTAGATTGGGGGACAAACCAGACACTGATCAAAAGTTGAAGACGACTGCAATCTGTGGGCCTAAGGAATTGTCATTGTAGTTGGGGAGAGGAGAATGTAAAAAAAGTTGCAAAAAAAAATGTAATCATCTCTGTGTAAAAAGTATTCATTGATTCTCTGGAAAAGGAGGTAAAGGAGGAAGTTTTCCAAGGAAATAACCCCTGAACTCAGTTATGAGGAAGGAGGTGTGAGTTGCCAAGTGGATGAGGGTAGGGAAGGCCTAGGCCTGAGAGAGCATGGGCAAGAAGCAGGAGTCCATAGCTGAGTGTGGCCAGTGTACACACATAGTGAAAAAGGGACAGATTTCAATCAATGGAAAGTTATTGATCAACAACAACAGTTGATGAATTATAAAGCAGGAGGCTGGAGGGATAGGATGTGTTTTAAAGAATCATTTTACTAATAGGTTAAAAGTTAAACAGGAAGATGGGGAGGGAAATGGTCCAAGGGAGATTAGAGAGGGAAAAAAACCCTTATAGTGAGGTCTGGAGCTCTGGTAGCGTAGTGGTTACAAATTGGGCTGCGAACCTTAAGGTCAGTAGTTCGAAACTACCAGCCGCTCCGCGGGAGAAAGATGAGGCTTTCTACTCCCGTAAAGATTTACACCCTCGGAAACCCTGTACAGGGTCGCTATGGGTCGGAACCGACTCAACGGCACTTAACAACAACAACAATAGTGAGGTCTGGTGATGGCCTGGAATAAGGCAGGCCAGTGAGGTTGGAGAGGTGTGTAAGAGGTGGAATCAGTATAAGTTGGCCTGGTTTGGATGTGTGGGGTGAAAGGCAGGTAAGGCCTGAGAACGATTCATAAGGCTTCTGGTAGTAATGAGCGCAAGTGTACCAATGATTGCAAGGATGCCACAGGACCTAGTAGTGTTTTTTTGTGTTGTACTGAGTTGGAGCTGACTCCATGGCACCTAACAGCAACAACAACAACAGTGCATTTTTGGCCTATCAGAGCTTCAGATGCAAGAGGAAATTCCTACATGAGCTTTGCAAGTTTAGAAGACCACAAAGATGTTACAGTGAAGTGTGGTGATAGTTAGAGGAATATTGAAAGGAAACACCTAGCACAGATGAGAGGACAAGGGACGCAAGTTAAAACTAATCTGGTGGAATAAACAAGGAAAAAGTCTTACTTGATGTCATTGATAATCTGCCTTAAAGAGACAAAGAGGAGTACCTCTGCAAGGAAATTCAGACTATTGTATGTTTTCTAGGGAAGACGAGGAAAATGGCATTGTTTTAGGGCTATGAAGTTCATCCCACAGCCTCTTTCTTAGTATAAGTGAAAATTACATGTTGAATATGTGGGATATCTGTATTAGCAGCTCTGCTTGTTTAAGAATTAGTTAAACCCTAAAAGAAGACATCATTCTTGGAGGGGTACTATAGAGAAATCATCAATAACAGGGTCTCTGGAACCAGATGGATTAGTTTCACATCCTGGCACTGTCACTCAGTAGCTGTGTGAATTTGAGCAGTTGCTTAACCCCTCTAAGCCTCTATTTTCTTAACGTGTCAAATGGATAACAATAGTCCTTATCTTCTGTGGTTTTTGTGAAGATGAATTAAGATAATGTGCGTTAAGTGCTGCTTTCTGGTACGTAGAGTAAATGTGCACCAAATAGTAGCTTTTACTGTGGTTAGAATGCCAGTGAGCAGCAGCAGCAGGCACTGCACATCAGGGATTCATTACATGGATGAATGTCATTACTGGTGACAGTTGACACAGTTCTTCTGCCTTGCCTGCTTCCTTATCCCACCAAAGGTGTGATTTGCCTTTTTGCATATTGGTTATTAAAACGGCCTAGTTACGCTAAGGAAATTCCGTGCTTCCTCAGAATTGGAACCTGAACAGCAAGCTGTACTTTATACCTTGGATCTGCTAATGTTGTTTTGTAACCTGTGTTTTAAAGATAGAGAAGCAGAGAAGGATAGAACGGATAAAGCAGAAGCGAGCTCAGCTACAAGAACTTCTCCTACAGGTAAAGATGCTGGGATGCTTTTCATCACCTTCCCTACCTATATTCTGTTCCTCCACTTGTATTTTAGTTAGTGTACTTTCTGCTCGTGGTGCCTCTGATGGCCTTCCTGCCTTTGAGCACATTGCCCTCCACACACTGCCTTTCAGATGGTTCTTTCCTGCCCTCATTCCAGCCCTGCCGTAGTACATTTGCCATGTGTATAACTTGTATTATGCAATAGACTACTTCTGACATCCAACACTTGATTCTTATTCTGATCATAAACTGTCAAGAATCTTATTGTTTGTTCTTGCTCTGATTTGAAATATCAAGTAAAGTAAAGTCATTTAAAATTTAGGTGCTCTGAGTAATCAAATCCTCCTGTTATACTTCTGTGCCTTGAAAAGTATCTGTAAATGCCAAAATGACATAATATGATTCAATAAGCATTGTAGAAATTCCAAAACTTAAAATGCATATAAGAAAAATAAGTTTTATAGTTTAGTAAAGTTTCCTATATTTATAATTTTTTTTGGATCACTGCCTAGAATTTGGATGCTTGTTCAAACTATAATAGAGCCCTTGTCTAAAATCATGTGAGGTGAAATCACAGGGTAGTTGGACTCACTTTTTTTTTTCTTCTTTCTATTTTTGGTAATTGCAGTTGGTATAAAAATTCATTCTGAGCAGTACAATTGGGCCATTTTCAGTTCAATCAGATAAACATAAAATGGGCCAGGGCCTTTATGCTTCTGATTTTCTCAGCAATATGTCTTTATGTGAAAAAAATTTTCTAACCAGTTAAAAAATCCAGTTTAATTTGAACAAATCTAGGTCCTGTTTCATTTTGGTGAGCTCTAACTATTCAGAAACATAGTATTTCTAGACATATACAGCAACTCAAACTGGATTGGTTTACAGAGTCAAAAAGTTTAGGTCCATAGTCGTGGGAGACAATTTAGTCAGTTAGCATAGCATAGTTCACAAAGATAATGTTCTACATCCTAGTTTGACGAGTAGTATCTGAGATCTCAAAAGTTTGAAAGTAACCATCTAAGATATAACTTCTGGTTTCTTCATATGAAGCAAAAAGAGAATGAAGAAAATCAAAAGACCAAAGAAGAAACTAATCCATAGTCCTAGTTACCCACACAAATCCATACAAACCACAGCCTTTTCTCACCTGAGACCAGAAGAACTAGATGGTGCCCAGTTACTAATAGTGAACCATCTGACCAAGGACCAAAAGGTCCCAGGTAGAATGAAAGAAAAATGTAGAACAAAACTCAAATTCCTCAAAAATGCCAGATTTACCAGACCAATAGAAACTGTGAGTGAACCCCCTAGACACTGTTGCTCTAAGATAACCTTTGAATGTGGAACTGAAGCTATTTCTGTGAGTCAAACAATGCATTGTCCATGAGTAATGTGCTGCTCTCTTAAAACAGTGAACTCAAAGGGAACTACAAAAAAGTTCATGGAAAAACCTAATTAAAAAGTAAAGATATATCTCAGCATAAGCACCAGGCACTTTGTTCTCTTTAAGTTTGAGGCACTTTTGTAAGCAATGATACTAGCCATTTAGTAACCCTAAAGAACTGAGGGTCCTGGGGATAGAACCGAGTCAGTGCAGTCTTTTCTTACATTATTAATGGAAGAAAAATGGGCACCTTTAAAAGATTTTTTACGATTAACCAACAAAAGGGAGAAAGAAGGAGCCAAATCAGAACTATAAGATAGATTGCCCATAAAAACGCCCCCCAAATTGCCGTTTTTAAATGAGAGGAATGAGCAGGAATGTTGTGGTAAAAAGGACTCTGGTGAAGTTTTTCTGGGTGATTTTCTACTGAAAGTTTGGCTAGCTTTTCTCAAAACACTGTCTGAAGAAATAGATGTCATTGCTATTTGGTCCTCTGGAAAGTTAATAAGCAGAATGCCTTGAACATCCCCCAAAATTGTTGTCATGACCTTTGCTCTTGAGCAGTGCACTTTTTTTTTTTTTAATCAGTGCACTTTTGCTTTGACTGGACCACTTGCACCTCTTGGTAACCACTGCTTTGATTGTACTTGGGCTTCAGAATCATATTGATAAAACCATATTTCATCCCTGTTAACAGTTCTTCCAAGAAATGTTTCAGGATCTTGATCCCATTTGTTTAAAATTTCTTTTGAAAGCTCTGCTCTCATCTGTGGCTGATGTAGGTGCAGTAGCTTTAGTGCCCATTGAGCTGAACGTTTGTTTCAATTCTTATTTTTTAGTCAGGATTGTGTAAGCAATAGCAGTTGAGCAGTGTATGGTGTTGGGTGTTTTTCTGCTGTTAATCAGTTGTCCTCTTCAATTAGGGCATGAACAGACTTAATTGTTACCTCAAAAATTTCTGTGAGTAGTGCTGCTGCAGGCTGCACTGCCAACATTCTCTTGTCCCTTCTTAAAGTGAGTTACCCATTTGTAAACTGCTGATTTCTTTGGGGATTGTTACCATAAACTTTTCATAAAGCATCAGTGCGTTCACCACTCTTTCATTCAAGCTTCCTAATAAATGTGATGATTGTTGTTATTCAATTTCAGCAGAATTGATGTTGCTCTAATAGGGCCTCTTTTCAAGCTGATGTCTTGTCCTTCTTAGTGCCTCAAACTAGATCCTGTTTGGACATGTTATAACAAATCAGTGCAAGTTTATTTTGGTACAAAAAAAAGATTGAAATCTATGTATAGTTGTTTTGTTGTTGGTATTTTTTTTTCACAATATGTATTTTTCCGTGAACATTTTGAAAGTGCTTTACTCATGTATGAGACTGAAGGCAAAGATGAAAAGGCAGGGGAGGGGAAGAGAAGTTAGATCAATTGAAATGGAAATAACAAGAATGCTGACACAGTGTCAAAATTGTCAAATCTGGCTCAGAATAATTTAGATAGAAACTGTTAAAGGGGAATCTAATTCACACTGTAAACTATCATCAAAAACACAATTAAGAACAAAAATATAGTAATAAATGACCAAATATTGTATCCATTTTTTTCTTCAATACTTACTTTGTCTAATGGTAAGTACTCACAAATTTTCCAGATTTGTTTGCTTTTTACTTTCTAGATGCTTAAATTTATCTTTTTATCAGTTTTGTGTGTAAGTCAGAGGCAAGGGAAGACAGTTTAGCCCTTGCAGAGAACCATGAATGATCTGAGAAGAGGAAGTAGGAAATGAAATGGGTCACAGGAGTAGCCCCAGATAAAGCAGCGACTTTTCAAACACAGGAAGTCCCAGAGATGACCCCAATTAGGCCATTTCTTTCTTACCATGTTCTGTCTGATTTTCACACCGAGTGTTATAGAACCTACCTGAAGTATTGTATGTGGTTTTTTGTTTTTGTTTTTTCATATTGCTTTTCAAATACAGTTTTGTTTTTGGAGAACTTATGAACACGTTCTGCAGCTTCTAAAAGAAGTTGAAGGCTGACAGTTTATTCCTTTGCTTCTCCAATGGAACTCTGTTCTTAGATGCCTGGCCTACCTCTAACTCTTATGCTGCCATCTTCTCTCTGCTGCCTCAGATGTCCCTGTTCTTACACAGTTATCTTCAGTAATGCCTGAGATTGCCTCACCACCTGGGGGGTTTTTGTCTTTTTCCCATTTATCATTTTAAAACTTTGTCTCTTGTACATCTGTTTATCAGAAAGAATAGTACTGGACAAGATCATCCTTAAATATGTAGGACTTTCTTATCTGTAGATACCTAGCGCAAAGAAGTTGAATATTTTTCTCTGCTTATTTGTATTCTCTACTCTTTATACAAGCAGCTCTGGTAGCGTAGTGGTTACGAATTGGGCTGCAAATCGCAAGGGCAGCAGTTTGAAACTACCAGCTGTTCCGCAGGAGAAAGATGAGGCTTTCTGCTCCCGTAAAGATTAACAGCCTCAGAAACCCTGTTCAGGGTCGCTATGAGTCACAACCGACTCCATGGCACATAACAACAACTCTTTATACAATGAACATTGCAATTCTGTTTTTCTGAGTCCTGAATTCCTTTTCCTTTGCTGTTCCTCAAGCCAAATATTTATTAAGATTTCAACCCAGAAGAAACCTGTCAATATCTATAGAAGCAGATCTCTCTAAACATTAACATGAACTCAAAAACTATAGTTGCAAACATAGTCTTCTTTAGCACCTACAGCTTCTCTTTTGTTGTTTCTGTGTGCCATCGAGCCAATTCCAACTGATAATAACCCTGAAGGAGAAAATAGAACTGCTCCACAGGGTTTCCTAGCTGTAATCTTTATGGAAGCAGATTGCCATGTTTTTTGTCCCATGGAACAACTGGTTGGGTTTGAACTGCCAGCCTGTCAGAAGCTAAGTGCTTAGTCACTGTGCTACCAGTCCTCCAGAACTGCTAATACATAGCAAAGTGAATGGCTGAACACATCTGAAGCTGTTCTGTTTTTGAAATAGATGTTAATGAGCTTGGAAAAGAGCAAAAGGTTGTAGAAAATCATCAAAGGTCAAGAAGTACAGATATGCATTCAAAATAAATGGGGAATGATTTTTCTTTTTACTGTGAGAATGACATATTTTTACTGCTGCCTTCACCTGAAAAATCTTGTATGCTATTAAGTGTTTATAATATTGAAGAATGACTTATAAGTAAGGACTGTTACTTAGCACTGCTCATGTTCCCCACGTACTAAGGCCCTCTCAGGGCACTCTGGCCACAAAGGATGGAAGCAGCTCCCAAGATGCTTACTTTAGCTAAAAGAAAGATAAATTGGGCAGAAATCTTAAAGCATTTAATTATTTTTTTCAGTTCCTACTTTTCCAGTTTATTTTTCCCTCATTATTAAGTGAACAATGAATATAAATAGCCTTAATTATTTAGCTACAGGACAAAAAAAAACACAAAGAATTATGATTTAAAATAAGAAACTGATATTTGGACACACTGTTGGGCTCTAGTAAATTGGTATCCCTTCTGCTTTGTGCATTTTAAATGAGTAAATAATCACTTTCTAGGGAGATCCCATTGCTGCTGAGTCGATGCCGATTCATAACGACTCTGTGCACAACAGAATGAAACCCTGCCCATTCCTGCACCATCCTCACAATTGTTTTGTTTGGTCTCTTTGCTGTCACTGTGACAATCCATCTTGTTGGGGGTTTCCTCTTTTTTGCTGATGCTCTGCTTTTCCTAACATTGTCTCTGGTCCCACCTGACAATTATGATCAAAGTATGAAGAGACGAAGTCTCAGCATCCTTGCTTCTAAGGAGCAATCTGGCGCACTAGGTCCAAGACAAATTTGTTTGTTCTTCTGGCAGTCTGTGGAACTTTCGATATTAACACCATGATTCACATGCATATGACACTATTGAAAATACCTTGACTTGGGTCAGGCACACATTCGTCCTCAAACTGGTATCTTTGATCTTGAACGCCTTAAAGATCTTGTAGCATGTTGGCCTAGTGCATTAAGTTGTTTACTTTATTGACTGCTACTTCCAGGAGCAATGATTGTGGATCCAAACAAATTGAAGTCTTTGACTGCTTCAATCTTTTCTCCATTTATCATGATGTTATTTATTGGTCCATTGGTGAAGATTTTTTCTTTACATTGAGGTGCAAGCCATACTGAAAGCTGTAGTCTTTGATCTTCATCAGTAAATACTTTAAGTCCTCTTCACTTTTAGCAAGCATGGTTGTGTCATCTGCATATCACAAGTTGTTAATGGATCTTCCTCTAATCCCAGTGTCATGTTCTTTATATAATCAAGTTTCTCAGATTATTTGTTCGGCATACAGATTGAATAAGTATGCTGAAAGGATACAACCTTGGCATACACCTTTCCTGATTTTAAGCCGTTAACTGTTCCCTTGTTCTGTTCTAATGACTGCCTCTTGGTCTATGTACAGTTTCCTCACAAACACAATTTAACACTCATAGTTTGTTCTGATCTCCATAGTTGAATGACTTTGCATAGTCAATAAAGTACAAGTAAACATTTTTCTGACATCAATTCATCTGACATCAACAATGATATTTCATTCTACGTCCTCTTCTGAGTCTTGCTTGAATTTCTGCCAACTTCCTGTTAATATACTGCAATCATATTTTAATTGTCTTCAGCAACATTTTACTTGCATGTGATAATGATGATATTGTTCAATGATTTCTGCATTCCATTGGGTCACCTTTCTTTTGGAATGGTCAAAAATAGGGATATTTTCCAATTCATTGGCCAGATAACTGTCTTCCAAATTTCTGGACATAGACCAGTGAGCATCTCTAGTGATGCATCAGTTGGTTGAAACATTTCAGTTTGCCTTTCATCAATTTCTGGAGCCTCTCTCCCTCCCCCATCCAAAATACCTTCAGTGCTACTTGGACTTCGTCCTTCAGTACCATTGGTTCTTGAACATGTACCTCTTGAAATGACTGAACATCAACCAATTATTTTTGGGACATGGACTCTATGTATTCCTTCTATCTTCTTTTGGTATTGACAGCATTATTCAATATTTTCTTAATAGAATCTTTCAATATTACTACATAAGACTTGAATTTGTTCTTTAGTTCTTTCAGCTTGAGAAATGCTGAGCACGCTCTTCCCTTTTGGTTTTCTATCTCTAGATCTTTGCGCATTTCACTGTTGTAATAGTTGTCCTTACTTGTTTGAGCTTCCCATTGAAATTTCTGTTCAGCTGTTTTACTAAATTCTTCATGTCTGCTATTTGTTTCAGCTTGTCTACGCTCAAGAGCAAGTTTTAAGAGTCTCTTCTGACATCCAGTTTGGTCGATTGTTTTTTTTCCCCCCTGTCTTTTTAGTGATCTTCTTTATGTATAATGTTCTTGATGGTCTTTGGTCATTTGTGTCTAATGCATCGAATCTGTTCTTCAGATGGTTTATAAATCTTGGTGTGGCACTGTAGGAAAAGTACTCAACCATAAGGTCCATTTGAACCACAAGGTCAGTGTTTCTAACTCACCAGTTCTCCTCGGAAACCCTACACAGGGTCGCTGTGAGTCGGAACCAACTCAGCAGTCACAGTTCTGGAAGCCAGAAGTCTGAAATCAAGGTATTGTCAGAACCAAACTCTTCTCCAAAGCCCCTTGAGGAGAATTCTTGCTTGCCTCTCCAGTTTCTGGAAGGCATTCCTTGGTTTATGGCAGCATCTCTCCCACTATGCCTATGTCTTTATATAACTGTCTACATTCTGTGAGTGTCTTTGTGTCTCTTATAAGTACATCAATCCTATTGGATTAGGACCCACCCAACTCCATTATGAAATGACCCTATCACCCTACAGGGGTTTTGGGAAACGATAGAATTTTAGGAGATACCATTCAGCCCAGCACACGCTGGATTCAAAACTGTCATAAAAAGTTGGCTTAGACAATCCAAAAGGTGTATTTGACAGTGAGCTCTCAAGAGTCTGTGTTCAATAAATGTTAAATGTCGCCACAATGTCCCTTCTGCTGTGTCACCCTAAGAGCAGCCTTGGGTGTCCACTTCTAGGCTGTCTGCCAGATTTGGGAGATCCTATTTCTTTGGAAATGATAGACCCCACTGTTTACATTAGGGTGGTACTATGTACCGTTAAAATTTTTTTTTTGGGGGGGGGTGGGGAATAAGAGATTAGAGTTAGGTTGTTCTCATTTTTCTTAAATATTTCATTTTTAAAATTAATTTATCATACAGGAGGGATACCTCTTTAATGGTATTGTTTTAAATGTGTCGATAATTAGTTTAAATTCTGACTCATTCACAATAAGTAACCGTATTTTTCTCATTGGTTATTGCAGCAAATAGCTTTCAAAAACTTGGTGCAAAGGAATCGGCAAAATGAACAGCAGAACCAGGGCCCTCCAGCTCTGAACTCCACCATTCAACTGCCATTTATAATCATCAATACAAGCAGGAAAACCATCATAGACTGCAGCATCTCCAGTGACAAGTGAGTAGAAAATTAGGGAAGGTTGCAGGTCTGGCCAACTTGAACATATTCCTGTCACTTACAAACTGAAAAAGGGTCTATACTCCACACTATTTCCCATACACCAGGGCTGACATCCATGGGCCTTCGAGACACCCTCTCAAACTAGGCCCTGCGCTGCTCTGGTGTACACAGAGTGGTGCCCACTCCCAGGCCATCTGGGCAAGTAGTGGAGTGAGCTCTTAGTTCTGTAGTTGAGTGTTCTTGTTTATGAATGAATGGGTAGACATGAAAATACCAGGCAGTTTTTCTGTAATCTATGTTAAATAAGATTGATGGTCACTTTCATCACTACAAGTGAGAAATACTGCTTTTCAAACTATAAAATTAACTTGTCATATACTTTACTCTGCATAAAAACAGTTTAGGTCAATGGTCTTCAGGCTGCAACCCACAGCTTTCCGGTATCATGAGTTAGGGCTGTGGAATGCAGAGGACAACAGACCCAACTGAGGATTGTGGCTCCCCACTTAACCTCTCCAGAGCTCCGTTTTCCCGAAAATGACAAGGGCCTGCCTCTCATCCCAGCTTTGTGGAAGATCGGTAGAATAGTGCCTGTTAAAGGACTGACTCCAGGCAAATGTTAGCATATAATTTATCATCCAAATTAGGATACTTTTGAAAGCATTGACAATTAGAGGGGACAGCAGGCATACACCTGGACTGTCCCAGGGAGGCCAGCACTGGTTCCCCGTCCATGTTATGTCCTACAGAAATTCTGGATCAGTTAAATAAAGTAGACACATGCACACACACAAAGAACAACCATGAGCAGGAAATATCAAAATTAATTGATAATGGAATCAACAGATACAAGGAGCAATAGTAGAGACAGCAGACCCAGAATTTCAGTCTTTCCTCCAGCTCGTGAGAGTTCCTTAACCTCTCTGAGACCTCGTGCCTTCCTCCATAAAAATAATTATGTTAACTTTGCAGCTTTATGAGTAAATTTATAAATTCATAAAGAACCCAGTCCAATGGCATTATTCACACACTTGCAAATTCTTCATAAGCAACTGTGTCTAAGCTAATGGTAACATTAGCAGAAAAAAGAACCCCTGAGAATTCTAGAGAATTAACAATATTTTCAGGAAAAAAAGAAAAATCTATTCTAATAACTTTCTGTATATAGTCTCTTGTTCTGTGAGGAAATTATTCAGTTCTTTCCTTAGGCTAGTCTGGCTTTTTAAATGGAAAAAGGCTGGTATTAGAGTCTGAGGACTGTTGATCTCAGGGAATGATGGACTCTATCCATCCAGGCTGAGATCTGTCCCCTGGGTGATTATTGATGCCAGAACTTCCCCAAGTAGAAGGAAAGAGTCTTTGAGCAACTTGTAGAAGCTCAAGGCTAGGCCTGTCTCCCTGTCTGTCAGTCCTGTTGGTGGATTAAATGAGGATTAAAGATACAAATACATCCACTTTTTACATGAGCCTGGAACCATCTACTTAAGATATTTTGTTTGTTTCATTTTTTAAAATATACTTTATTCAAATTTGCATGATTCACATAATTTAAATATGGCATTTTGCTTTAATTATAATTTTTCTCTGGCCTAACATAAGGCACCCTGGTGACACAGTGTTTAAACACTCAAAAGGTTGGTAGTTCTAACACACCAGCAGCTCCGAGGGAGAAAAGATCTGGCTGTCTGATCTAGTGAAGATGACAGCCTAGGAAACCCTATGGGGTAATTTTACTGTGTCAGAATCAACTGGTTTTCCCCACACATGATTTTAATACAGTGAGTTACATAATAACATTGTCCTGACATATTCTTCTGAACTCTGTTTCTGCGGGGCTGAGACCTCTGAGGGCAGGTGCCTCAGGACCCAAGAGTCCAAGCTCACCAGCTGCACCAGGTATCTACCTGTACTTACCTCTTCATTGATAAGTTGTGCTGGATAGTCGTGCATTCAGATTTTGTACATTGGTCTGAAGACAGGATTTGATGATTGAGTAATTATGCCTCAAAGGAAGTCTTACTATTTATTGTTTATTGCTGTTTATATGTGGAAGCTAACACTTGATTCATGAAAATGAAGTAAGCATCCAGTAGGCCAACTCATAGTAGGGATATCATGTATTAAACTAGAAAGGAAGGAAATTTTAATGCTTTGTCTTTCATGACGAAGCTACAGATAACTTTGAAAAGTATTAGATTTAGAACAATGAAAGATCTTTGCCAGACAAAATGCCAATCTCTTGTTTGTAACAGCTTAAAGAGTGCTAAAGTTGATGGGCTCCTGTTGCCTGTCATAGAACAGTTGTTTTAATTGGGAGAGTGGTTTGCTTAAGATGTCTTCCCCCCGAACACAGCAGATGGTTCTTACTGCTCTGACCTGTCACAATCTGTAACAGTTCTGTACCCAAAACAAGGCCCTCATTCTGTTATCAAACATACAAGGTACAAAACTATTCAGGCCCCCATACTAACTTTGTTTCCTGCTGCAGGTTTGAATATCTTTTTAATTTTGACAACACCTTTGAGATCCACGATGACATAGAAGTATTGAAGCGGATGGGGATGTCATTTGGTCTGGAGTCTGGCACATGCTCCCTGGAGGACCTGAAACTTGCTAAATCACTCGTGCCAAAGGCTCTGGAAGGTTACATCACAGGTAACTGAGTGCTTCTACAAACTGCCTCTGACTAACTAAATAAATTCTAACTTATTGAAACCTCTCTAAAGGAAAACGGTGTTTTTTTAAAAAAAAAAAAAACTTTGCTTATATCAACAAATGGAGACTTTGAACACCAATAACTACATTATGTTTTAAGCACAGAAGTTTTTTATTTTGTTGGAGTCCCATTTAGCTATTGTTTCTATTGCTACTTATGTTTTAGGTGTCTTATCTAAAGCCATTGCCTGGTCAAAGTTCATAAAGATTTACACTTATATTCATCTGTAAGAGTTTTATCAATTTAGCTCTTAAACTGTATTTGTTCCATTTTGAGTTGACTTTTCTTTTTTTGCATGGTGTAAGGTAGAATTATGCGACTCTCTAGCTTTCCCAACATTATTTGCTGAGGAGGCAAAACTCCATTGAAGTATCTTGATCTCACTATCAAATAGCAGTTACCTGTCATTATAGCTTTAATAAACACCTTCGTAATCACTAACGTTTATTGATCATTTGTTTTCTTTCTTCTGTAAAGTACCTACCTGTTCCTTCTCTCTTAAACTCTTCCCCAATACAACTTTCATTCCCACCATTGTATGAAAACTACACTTGTCAAGAGACTTAGTACGTCCCATGTTAAATCTGATCGTTGATTTTTAACCCATAATATTTTCAGGGGTGTTTCACACAACTGATTGATTCTTCCTGAAACTTTCTCTATTTGCTGTCTGGTGCTCCTGGTTTCCCACCTACCTTATTTGATGATCCTTGCTTGTTTCTTTTACTGGATGTATCTCAAGTCCCCTACCTCTAATTGCTTGCATACCTGAAGATTCAGGCCTTGGGTCTCTTCTCTTTTTATACTTAGTCACAAGGTGTTCTTGTCTGTGTAGCTACATGGCTTGAAATATAATCAAGTGCCAAACTCTCAAATTTATATCTTCAGTTCAGAATTTTTCTCTGTACTATGTTGCTGTTTTTAGGTGCTGTCAGGCCAGTTCTGGCTCGTAGTGACCCTGTGCACAACAGAACTAAACACTGCCCAGTCCTGCGCCGTCCTCACAATTGTTGTTACACTTGGGCCCATTGCTGTTGTGTCAGTTCATCTCTTTGGGGGGGACGAGGGTCTTTGTCTTTTCAGCTGATCCTCCACATTTCCAAGCATGATATTCTTCCAGAGAGTCTAGTCCCTCCTGATAACATGTCTGAAGTATGAGAGACAAAATCTGCCTTTCTGGCTTCTAAGGAGCATTCTGGCTGTACTTCTTTCAAGATAGATTTGTTCATTCTTCTGGCAGTCCATGGTACTTTTAATATTCTTCAAAACTATAATTCAAGAGGGAACAAACAAGATGGCGGATCGGGTGGAC